GTTTCTACAGCAATGACTCACTACTTCTAATTTCGTTTTAATCCCTAAATTGTTATGCAGAATCAAGTAAGCATATCAGTTTGACTTAAGAATTTCTTGCGTAAAGCATGTACCCCTGTGGTCAGTGGCTGCGACAGCACCAAAAATGAGGGGGGAGGTCAAGCCAAAATCTTATACTCACGTGTAATTTTAAAGGGACTCCTTATTTCCTCCACATTTTAGAATGCTAAATTACATTGAAGCAACGTTGTGTTTCAAAAAGTACTTTGAGTTTTGAAGCCTCAAAGTACTTGCAGACTTTAGAAAAGATCAGAAGATTTATGACCATTCTAGCATGGGGGGGGGATAACAAGTCTCTTTAAAGGTGGATTGATGAAATTTTTTTTTCGAGCATTATTCAATGAAATAAATAATTATTTAGTGCAGTAATACGATTAGTATAAAAGTAGGGTTAAGGGAATACCTATCATTGTAAGATATATCTCATTGACTTCTAGGATACAAGAAAAAAAATCCCGTAATACGGTAGTGCGCATGCGAACGTGTTTCCTTGTTATACACAATACATTTGCTCATTATTTGTAGGATTAAATTCTATGGTGGCTGGGTGGGTGGGGGGCAAATTGGGAAGTAAGAAAACATTTGGATGGGCCCCATGGGCCCCTTGCCCCCCTGTAGCGCCACCACTGCCTGTAGTATATTGAATATGAGAGATATCATTTCATTTTTGCTTATCATAGGGCTGGGTATGACTTAATAGTTATCGTGCCCGAACTGTAAATCTGAGGGTTCATGAATCGCGGTCGTTGTTGCAAAAACACGCTCCGCTATTTGGGGCTATGGGTGCGCTATAAGAGTGGTGATGGAAATTCCACTATTCGGTCATTACAACAGGAGTAGCCCAAGTTGTGACTAGCTGCCTTTCTTTTACTCTAATAGATCGAAGTAAAGACGGCTGTGCACAGATAGCCCTTGTGTAGCTATGTACGAAAATTCCTGAAGCAAACAATGTAACGTAAACGGCTGATTGGTAAATGCTAACATTTAATATTAGGTTATGATTATTCACAGTTCAAGAAATACCATGATAATTTGTTTCTAGTTAGTATATTTTTCATATGATAATTTCACATGCAAATCCTGTTAATAAATCTGTTTTCGGATTACAATCTGTCTTACATGGAGTTAGCTAAAATCTTATGTTCTGCTGTATCCTCCGTCACCGGTAAAGTTGGGGACTTATAACACCCATTATGTAGCTCCGCGCTAAAACAAAAACTGTTTAAATGTAAGAAGCTTGTAAATGTAATAAAGTTAATACTTCAGTTAACAAATTGGTTCTTAGATAGACAGTCCTGTTGTTATTTCTAGTTAAACAACTCATAATGTGATTTATATAATTAAGATTGTGTCACTTTATCATAAATTGAAGCTGTTATCAGTCAGAAAACTAAATTAATTTTGTAAATTCTTTGTACTTAACATATTTCGTTTGGTATAGATGGTTCTGAGATGTTTGGATGTTGTAACGACTTCGTAAAGAATAACGTTTTATAGTAACTTTCACATCAAAAATAGGGTCTTAATCTGCTGTGTAAACGAATGGATATTACAGGCGAAAATATCATTAACAGCGAAGTTACCCAACTGATGAAACAATGCATACTAAACCTTATAAATAAAAACGTAAGAAATTTATATTTAATTACCTATACTCATTGTCATGCTGAATTTTGACTTTCTCTCTAAGTACACACCTTCCTGTGATCGGAAGCTAATAATAGTAAATAGAAACATTATATATACGAGATAGCAAAGTGTTTCCTGTCTATTGACAACCAGGAATACTTAAGAGCAGTGATTCTCATACGTTTCAGGTTCGCGCACCACTTTTTGTTTTAATTTTTTTTTAAATTACAAACCCAGGCCTAACTAAAAAAAAGATAAAAACCTAGTAATAAAAATTCATATTTTTAACACTTGCCCATTAATGCGAAGGATGCGATTGTTTTTTCTGGCACGATTGAAGAATATGTGGTACCATTTTTGTCAATTTTAAGGGAAGGAAATAATGGTGAGTCTATTCAGGAAGAGAATGAGTCTATAAGTGAGGAGGAGGACCCCCCCCCCCCAGTGGTACAGCGGTATGTCTTCGGATTTACAACGCTAGAAACCGGGTTTCGAAACCCGTGGTGGGCAGATCACAGATAGCCTATTGTGTAGCTTTGTGCTTAACAACAAAACAAAAAGTGAGGAGAGTAGTATGTATATGTACGTGAGAAACTCAGATAGGGCTAATTACAAATTTTATGATTTTTTTATATTAATTGTGTCGTGTACCACCGACATTAGCTCCACGTACCATCATTGGTACGCGTACCACAGTGTGAGAATCCCTGCTTTAGAGCTTAGAACACTGTTTCCACGGAATTATTTTGTGACTAAAAAAAAATATTATTTAGTTCTGAAGAAACTTTAGAGCAACATTTTCAAGCTCTTAAAATAAGTTACATTTTTACCAGGCGTTATAATGTGACGGTCAATCCCACTATTCGTTGGTAAAAAGTAGCCCAAGAGTTGGTGGTGGGTGGGGATGACTAGCTGCCTTCCCTCTAGTCTTACACTGCTAAATTAGGGACGGCTAGCGCTGATAACCCTCGTGTAGCTTTGTGCGAAATCCAAAACAACAAGCCATCTTTAACCACGGACATTGCTTTTTAAACATAATTATTTGTATAAAAGGCAACTTTCTTTAAAATGTTAAAAAGAGAATTACGTCTCTTGTTTTTTTTTAAATTTGATTTCTTGGTTCAAATTCAATGAAATAATATGGCTTCTTCTTGTGTACGGTTATAGTAGGAATGCTCGGACAAATGGTTTAATTGAAGTTTAGTTATTTTACTAAATACGGCAGTTTGAAAAGCTCAGTAATTTAATAGTCTGAATAACCTATAAAGTATTAATTAACGCATGACCAGTGATGAATTTGATTCACAAATGAGTAAAGGGACCATGAAATGGTTAGCTCTCCTGTCTTGAGGCGGATTTTATTTGACTTAACACCTACAAACATGTTTTTGTTGAAATTACGAAAGTTTGAGTAGGGGTCGTGACCTTGTGTGGGGTTAGCCTTAATGTTTTGAGGCTATTTTCTATTCTTTTTGTTTGTATAAAAGTTATTTGATTTCGGATGGTCAAGGTCAACCCATCTTTAGCGGCAATTAGGGATGGCTCTGAATATGGACCTCTGAACTGGACTGGACTGAACGTTTAATCCACGTGCGCATATGGTACTGATCAGGCTGGAAATTCCAATTTTTGTGTAAAGTTTATGAATAAGGTAGTGGTTATAGTCCAACGTGCAGGTAACAGACTCAAAAATGATTACTATAATAATTTCTTAGTAACACCTCCAGAAAAATGCTATTGTAGCCATAAGGATCCAGTATTTTCTGTACGACAGGAATTTTCTACACTACTCAACACTTAATCTACTTTTTTGCCTCATATCAGAACATATGCCTTTCTTAAATGCACATTTAGAAATTATTTATTACGTTCTTGTGTATATGGGAAAGCATGCCAAGCACCAGTGTTCGCATCTTGTATGTTGTACACATACTGAGTTAAGCATAATAGCAGGGGCGTGCATAAAGGGGGCAAGCATGGCCATGAACCCCCCCCCCCCCAAATAACTATGCGTACGGATTCGGTGATTCTGGTGAATGTAATACTGTTTATTTCTTTGTATATGAATTATGTGCATGTGTTGATATGATATATATATAATATATGAGTTTAATTACCTTCCGCCCCCCACGCTCGGCCCTTCATGATTTTTCGAGTTACTATCTGAAAATAATCGACAAAAAATTATTTTGGTTTAGATTTCATTTTTATTCGGACAGAACTGTCTTGCATAATACGCTTATGTATCTTTGTATACATTCCTAGAATAATGGTACTTGGAGACTAAGACTAATATCAAAACACTTTGTTGAAAATGACTCAAAGCCTGAAAATAATCTACGTGAAACACTTTAAAAAGTATTAATAAATCCTTAAACATTTGCAAGGTGATAGGTGATGCTTAAAATCTCTCCCAACAATCAATTTAACTGGATTATGAAAAAGGCGTAAACGGAGATTTATAGTGTTTGCTGCATTCCTGTGAACTTTTACTGGCAAATCGTGATTTTTATGTATGTTTTTTGTAACCTACATAGCACTTTTTAAGCTATCGTTTGATATATTTAAAGGTGATCAAAATTGGTGTCGATACAGAAAATATTTTATGTATTGAAAAGTTTAAAGTCTTGTTGTGAAACCTACACTGAGTGGTCACAAGTAAATAGACACCTAATTTTTCGTCATTTAACTGATTTATGCTAACTAATTTGTA